GCTAGTGGAGCGAATTGCGTCTCACTTGGCTGGGGGCCATGGGGCCGCCTAGGGCCCCCGCAGGGGGTCCAGGCGGCGAAGCCCCCTTGAAGCCACGGATATTTGACGAATTATGGCGATTTTTTATTACTTATTTTGATTTCTGGCGCCAGCACTGTGTATTTCTTTCTGGCCGTTGAATAAATCATGCAGTTTTTAAAGCAATTTGTTATTATTAGCTTGTTCAATGCTAATTGACACGATTTTGCTTGGTCTAGGCCTTATTGCGCCTCAGGGCTCTTTTTTAACTGCGCCACACCACCACTAACTCCAGTCGTCGCGATAAGTTGTTATTGATCCGCAACGAGCACTTTCTTGTCAGGCCTAGAGATCTGAGTGTTCTTGGAGAGTCTCCGTTTCAGGCATTACTTAAACCCAGCAGAAGGTAATATATAACTAGGTCCTAGAGATCACAAATTTTCAGTTTAGTGAATTTGTACAAATAAATGAATTTATTGCCTTGAAATTACTCCAGTTTGAGGGTGGTTCTAAGCATGGAGGTATTATTGAGAAGGAGATCACTCGGCAACAGATCCCTCTGACGCGGCAAACCTATGTGTTTCCCGCTTTTGGATCGCGCGCGGGCGTATTACCCTATAATTCACATTTTTTTCGTTAGCAACAACTTGGTAACGACATGCATTTATACGCTTCCAGCAGAGCAGTTGTGCAATAAAACGTTTGATTTAAACCCATTAAATATCTTCATTATGAACAATGTTCCCCTGATTAGATTTTTTCGGGCTTTTGGTATGTTATTATTTGTATATTTCAGGAACGGATGCCGTAAAATATTTATGTTAAAATTACTTCTGTGTTCATTATAATTTTGTCTGAAGATTGACTGGTTCGACTATAAAGCTAAGTCAGCATAAAACTGAAAAATACTCAGATTTTGGATTCATTTTTCGAATAGTTAACCCTCGTTAACCCTAAAATGACTTAGTTTATTATAATCCTTAATCATTTATTAATTAATATCTGTTAAAATTAGAATTGGCGAATTTTGGCCAATTTATCAAAATTGAAGTTGAAATATAGTATACTTTTATAGGTCATGTAAACGTTCCATTAAATTCGAAACTTTTCTTGGTGGAAAATATTAATATGTTTGATATTTTATGAGTGATAAATGTATCAGCTTCAAAATAGAAAAGATTGCGCGGCCATAGTGATTGACAGTATGTAGTGCGCATTGAGAAAAGAAGGTGCTCTCCATTTCGTCATGTTCAATTTTTTGGTCAACTATGCCTGCTGAAAATTTGATGGCGGGGAACACATGGGCATCGCGCAAACGTTCTTTACGCGCTGCGGCAACTTTGATCTTGGTTCATTTGCATAGCGCTGCGTGTGCGTAGCTTTGCCGAGTGATCTTCTCAATAATACCTCCATTTTCTCTAAGCTTACATGTTACATGGACGCCACCAACCGTATCAATTAGTACGCGTATACCTAAATTAAAGGGCAACCCTGTAAAAACATGTGCATCTTTTTGAGATTCAGCGATACATCATCGATTCGCTTGTTTCATCATCGTCAACTCACTTGTTTCATCATTGACGATTTGCTTCTTTCATCATCGACGGTTCATTCACTATATAGTTTCATCATGGGCTGTTCACTTGTTTTATCATGGACGGTTCAATTGTTTCCTCATCGACGGTTCACTGGGTATCATCGAATTGTTGCTTGAACGGTGTTCCATAGTAGCCATCTATTTCATTTTATACACTTTAGTTACTGTAAAGTTCATCGTTGATTAATTAACAGATACTGCCGTATTTGTATCTGTTCGATTGTTAACTGGTTAACTAGCTGGAAAGCGGTCTGGAGTGCGCATTATTTGTCCATAAGCCAGCACAGATTCTAATTTTGACATATGGTTCCCCACCATAACCTAAATTGACACTAAAGACGTACGAAACAAGCCATTTTTAAAAGAATTATTTAAATTATACAGTATACTTATACTGTGTCGAGTGATTATAATATATTACTGGATACACATCCAATATAAATACTTTAGATATTTACTTTTTTGTTTTACAGGTTGTAAGAACTTGACTGAAGATAAACACGGTCGACTTGCAATTCACTTCACAAACTGCCACTTACAGCAAGCTCAAATTGAGCCTTATCAATGTGAAACAGTTGAGAGTATTTCAGCATGTCTTGCAAAGATGAAAAACAATGCAATTGCTTTCAATGCCTATACATTGTTCTTTACACACACCCACAACATATGTTTTTTTCTGCAAAATGAAATTTGGCAGGAGAGAACGGAAGACACTGTTACTTACTTGGCAGAAAGTTCGAAAACAGTGGCCAAACAACTGAATGCAACAAGTGCAATTCAGGATGAGATGATGCAGAAACAGTGGCAGTCGTTGTCAAATCAGCAGGAAATTCTTAAAAATGAAAAGCAGTTACGGAAATCGTTGCATGAGTCCAACCAGGATATACTAAAGCAATTTCAAGAAGTATCCAAAATAATTTCCCAAATAAAGAAATTGATACTCGGCGAGTACATATCCTTCTATACATGGATGTTTTACGCTTTTTTTTCAATGTTTATGTATTTTTTAACAACAAATACAAGATTTTACGAGGCCCGTACCTATATAGTTTTCATAACTTTGGGAAATATAATAGTTGAATACGGGATTGCTTACTACTTTCAAAATAAGGATCTGGTATGTATTACAATATCCTTAAAGTCACATTGTTCTATGAATATTTCTTTAAAAAATATAAATACTAAATGTTTAGAAATTTACAAGTTATTTGCTTTTGGGGATTGACAAAGCCTTGTTAAGTAAACTATGTAGCAAAATCTCATGATTATGATGTTGATCTACTTTAGACGTAAATCATTAACTAAAGTAAAATTTTAATTTTTTTTTTATCAAAATAAAGATTTTATCCAAATCTGCACCAGATTTGATATTCTATTATCTATCTCAATGTTTTCAAACATCGTTATGTTTAACTAAGTTTCATATCCACTTTCTTTGCATTTTTGGTTTGTATTTATACTAAAACGTGATTTGCTTTATTACTACATATAACACATGGGCGGTGGAAGCATTAATTAGTTGTTGGTCAAGCAGAAGGGCCTAAACCAACCACAGCCACAGTTTATAAATATGGCGCAACTAGTCTCCAAAGTAGCATTCACATATGAAAATATGAGATAACATTTGAATGTTTTATATTTATTGTTTGAGAAATTGGATAAAATTATGGTAGCATTTATTAGCAATTGAAAATTATAGCACTCCCCTATGAGACCAACTGACTAAAAACACAACATCATACACACTCAATACAGACTAAGATAAACCATACTGAACTAATATTTCGTTGTTTGTTCAAATATCATTAGAAATTGTTTTTCACAGTCTAAAGAAGCCATGAAACACTTCATTATTGCCGTTAAAATACATTAAAAACTAGAATTTTATTTATTTATTTATTGTTTAACTTGGGTTAACAACTCAGTTGAAAACCAACTGTTATCCTTATGTTCACATGATACGATACACAAAACATATAATCCTAATGTACTTACTTCAATAATAATAATAATAATAATAATAATAATAATATAATTCATAAAAACAACATTAATGACAATAATAATAATAATAATAATAATAATAATAATAATAATAATAATAATAATACTATTAATAACAACAGAAATTATTATCATAATTATTACATTTTAATAGGATTAAGTAAGCCAACAATTAAAATGCAAAGTAAATTGTTTTAAAGGTCATCTAATACTATAATTCATAAGAACATTATTAATAATAATAATGAAAATAATATAAATAATACTATACGGTAATTCATAAGAACAACAACAACAACAATAATAATAATAATAATAATGATAATGATTATGATAATGATAATGATAATGATAATAATAATAATAATGATAATGATAATGATAATGATAATACAAATAATGATAATAATAATAATTATAATGATAATAATAATAAAAATAATAATAAAAATAATAATAATAATAATATTATTAAAAATAATGAAAATAATAATAATAATAATAATAATAATAATAATAATAATAATAATAATAATAATAATAATAATAATAATAATTATTATAATAACAGGTCAATTGTTTTAAATACAATATTGTGACAGTTCGTGATCGAATAATTTACGAAAATACATATTGCCAACCCTTTCTCACCTATCGGTTTTACGCCACTGATAATGCCTTCACTGGTTACCTATCTTCTGCAACTCAATTATTAAAACAGTTTTCATTCTACCAAATCTTCCTAGCATGAAGAAAAAATAGGCTCCCAGAGAGAGCGTGTGTCTACTGCCTTATACCGGAGTTTGTTTTTTGTTTTGTTTTTGTTTTATTTAATCTTATGTTCTTCAATATGCAGATGTGTGTATTATTGTAGTGTATCTGGATTTTTCATGAAAATTTTCTTTCATAACAATAGTCTGTTATGAAAGGCCTACTACTATATTACACTAAAAATACTTTAAAAATGAGTAACTCCTGGAGTTACCACGTTATATCGTTGATCATAAAGAGTACTACCATGTTCTAGAGAGGGCGTCCTTCAAATGACGGTGAAAGGCGTTTGTGGCCAACGCGTGCTGCGTCTCTATAACGCGTGTTCGAGTTTCGAACGCAATTTTGTTCGAATTCCGAACGCTATTCAATTGTCAATAGAGCGCCCCCTACCTCGTGGTAGTAATACCCATCATGCCGAAACCTGATTTACCCTTTTCCGCCATCTTTAATTACTACATCATTACATAGTGTCTACGCCCCCGTTGGGGGCGGTAGACAAAAAAACCAAAGATAATGCAGTGACAAAAACCAATATGAAAACTTCTAACCAACTCAAAGGGCTAATAATCAAATGATTAGAATTATGAACACTTTCAACTATAAAAATTTGAAAGTGAACATAACCACTAGTTTCATTTCAATACCTAGGCCTACTGTGGAATATGGCTTGTGGCAGACGGCATGTTATATATTTTACCAGTGTAAAAAAAGCACACAGCTTAACGGTATGATTTCATTTATTTAATTTAAGTTAAGATAGGCCTACAAAAATTATTGGATCGCGTCGGTGTTGGACTAGCCCGGCCAAACTGAGGCCTAGCCTTCATAGCATTCGGTTATTGGAGAATGGTCCAACTATTGAATCCTGACCCAATAAATGCAGATAGAAAACCAACTGTGCGTAGACGTCCCTTACCAGAAATACATTTGAGAAACCAAAACAAAATATCACAGAATGCAAGTTAGGATAGTCATGATCAGCAGATTTTCCATGCGATTAAAAAATGGTAACTGTAGGCCTACTGGGTTTGGTATACTGTGTGCTGAAGTATGTTACCTCTTGTATTGTAAACTTGAATATTATTAAGAAAAGTAAATGAAGAGAATAATGTTAGCAGCAATTAGATGTGCAATATAGTCATTCCATATGAATCCAACACACTTTTTTTCCCGACCCCCTTCAAATCGCCCAATATTTTGCATGTTGGGGAGTTCTACCTGAGATAACCCCACAGTGAAATTTCTGGCTCCGCGCCAGCATTTTCTGATGAGTTAGAGCAATTTGAAATTTTAATGAAATTTGGCTAAAAAACTCACCTTCTGACAGACAACTCTGATATCTCTTTTGAAACTCTCAACGTATTGGAGTAATTTTGGTACCGTTGGATAGAGAAGACGATTCTCTTTCCAATGATAAGCAACTCGATGATGTCCGGACTAGTGAGAATTATATAGGTCAAGTCACGTGACCATGACCTTTGACCCAAAAGTATCACAAGTATATATCTCGATTTGTGGAAAAGTCACACCTCAGTTAGGACATTTAGCCCACATGATGCCCCTAAAGTTTCATTGTGGGCAAAAGAAATATATTAGCTCTAGACTACATTTTGTGCCTAGGTATTGATAGTTTCATTGAGTTTCTAGGAAATCTGCTGATAGAGTCTATGAAACTGGCACCATAGTATAGTGAAAATCAGAGGCCCCGTGACCATTTTTCTGGGACCAAGGGACGCTGATTTAGCATCACTAGGGTATAAATAAGAAATTGAGCGAGGGAGAACCTCCAGAAAAAATGCGGAACATATTTTTTTGGCGGCCATTTTCAAAATGGCCGCCAAAATTATGATATTGACTCATAACTTCACTTATATCCATTGAAAAAGGGCAAATCTGGTGTCTAACTATATGTTACTAGGGTCACTGAAGCCAATGAGACAGGTTTCGAAAACGTAAAATGGCAGCCATATTGAAACTCAAGATGGCCGCCTTAAAAATTGTCAAAAAAATAATATTTTAGTATAATTCCACATATCCTCTAAGGAAAATGGTAAATTTGGATCTAATCATATGATTTTGGGCTCTCTGAATACATTAAACATAGTTTCAAAAACCTAGGATGGTAGTCATTTTGAAATTCAAGATGGCCGCCATAAATATCCTAAAAATCGAATATTTTAGTATGTAATTCCACTTCTAATTGAAAAAAACTGCTAAATTTGATGTTTAAACATATGCAAGGTTTCATAAATCTAGAATAACAGCCATTTTGAATTTGAAGATTGCCGCCATAAAAACCATCAAAAAATAAATATTCTGGTAAGTAATTCCACTTCTATTTGATGATAAATGCTAAATTTGGTGTAAAATTATTTGCTATTGTGTCAACTGAGTTCAATAAACATGATTTCAAAGAAGGTAGGATGGCAGCCAATTTGAAAGTGAAGATGGCCGCCACGAAAATTATCGAAAATCAATATTTTGTTAATTGTTTAATTTTTTCGTAGCCGAAATGGCAACAATTTCGTGTCTAATCACATGTTGTGTCTCTGTATATATTGATTTTTGACAATTTTCATGGCAGCCATCTTGAATTTCAAAATGGCTGCCAGCATAGCTTTTTGAAATCATGTTTATTGAACTCAGTTGACACAAAACCATATAATTTGACACCGAATTTAGCGCTTTTCACCAAATAGAAGTGGAGTTACATGCTAAAATATTCAATTTTCGATGGTTTTTTATACCGGTACCAGAATACGTTGAGTTTCAAGAGAGATATCAGCAGTTGTCTGTCAGAAGGTGAGTTTTTTAGCCAAATCTCATGAAAATTTCAAATTGCTCTAACTCAACAGAAAATGCTGGCGCAGAGCCAAATATTTCACTGTGGGGTTATCTCAGGTAGAACCCCCAACATCCAAATTATTGGGCGATTTGAAGGGGGTCGGGCAAGAAAGTGTGTTGGATTCATATGGAATGACTCAATATAAAAAAAAATTGGTAAAATAAAGAAGAGTAAATTTGTTGAAAATTTTAATAAATTATAGGTCCCTACATAACATTGAGAACATATTATTCAGGCCCGTAGCCAGGTCATTTCAAGGGGGGGGTTTTCTGGGCGTGGGGTCCAGGGGCCTGCCTAAGGGCCACGGTGGGGTTGGGGGCGAAGCCCACGAACCCAGAGCAGTTTTTGTGTTTAATGGGTCTATATAATGTCTTATAAAATAAAAAAAGTTATTCTTCTTCCTCTTCCTCTTCCTATTCTTCTTCTACTACTTCTTCTTGTCTTTTATTTTGTACACTGAAAATAATAGTACTATTTTACTACATGGCTAAAAA